TTAAATATAGCATACCCTCCTACCTCAACAAATAGAGTATAAGTAAACATTTATAACAACCAAATGGGAAAATATATGGAAAGCTATACTTTTTATATGACTTAAAGAAAAGTGAAATGTCAAAAAATTACAATTTAAATATTATTGCATATGTCTAGATTTTTGGCTGATGATGTATTGGATGAGGAATAAAATTAAAACACATGTAATTCATATATCATCCTATATTTATGCCATAACTTTATCTTGCTAACATTTCAACAAAATCATTAATTATGCTATAATTAATAGTTTCATTTATTTGTGTTCTATTTATAGTAATGATCTAAAGTATCAGTACACAAAATGTAGTAGAATTTAAAGTGCATGAAAATTTCCCTGGCTGGTGTGGCTCAGTTGGTTGGGCATTGACCCAGGCACCAAGAAGTTGCTGGTTCATTCCTGATCAAGGGCACATGCCCTGGTTGGAGGTTTGATCCTCAGTGGAGGGCATACAGGAGACAGCCAATCAATGTTGGGCTGTCATATCGACGTTTCTCACCTTTTTCTCTCAAAATATCAATAAACTATTCTTTATAACTAAATAAATAAATGCCCGGTCAGTGTGACTTGGTGATTGAGCGTTGATCTATGAACCAGGAGGTCATGGTTCGATTCCCCATCAGGGCACATGCTGGGGTTGCTGGCTAGATCCCTGAGGGGAGGCATGCAGGAGGCAGCCAATCAATGATTGTCTCTCATCATTGATGTTTCTCTCTCTCTCCCTCTCCCTTCCTCTCTGAAATTAATAAAAATATCTTTAAAAAATAATAAAGTGCATGAAAATTGAGTGTGTTGAATATATCTGTTACACTGAATATATCATATTAAAAATTAAATGTAAAAACTAAAAATTATTTAAATATGTGCTTTATATTATTTTACTTATAAAATACGATTTTTAACTTATTTTAGAGAGACAGGAAGGGAAAGAAAGAGAGAAACATCGATTTGTTGTTACACTTAGTTATGCATTCATTGGTTGATTCTTGTATGTGCCCTGTGCAACCTTGGCATATTGGGACTATGCTCTACCAACTGAGCTACCCAGCCAGGGTCTAAAATATCCTTATATATTAAAATTAAAATATAATTAATGAATATCAAAATTATTTCAATAGAGCTAACATATAAAGATTTTTTTGTCTGAGATAATACATAAAGTACACAAATCTTAAATATGTAGTTTGAAGAACTTTTACATTTGTGCACACCTGTGTAATCAGATTAAGGCACTGGACACTTCTAATACACCAGTGGGATCCCTCATACCTTCTCTCAATTGATAACTTGGCAAAAGGTAACCACCATTCAGACCTCTGTATTAGTTTTGCCCATTTAAAGTAACTTTACTGGGATGCAATTAACATACCATACAATTCACCCATTTAAGTGCACAGTTTAATGGTTTTTAGTATATTCACTGAGTTGTGCATGCAGCCATCACCATAATTAATTTTAGGATACTTTTACCACCCCCAAAAAGAAAACTGTATCTATTAACAGTCACTCCCAATTTCCCTCCAACTATGCCAGTTCTAGGCAACCACCAATCCATTCTCTGTTTATGGATTTACCTATTCTGGACATGTCGCATGAATGAAATTACATAATATGTGGTCTTTTGTGACAACAATTTTACACTTTAGCAGAATGTTTTCAAGTTTTATCGATGTTGTAGCATATATCAGTACTTCATTTCTTTTTATGGCTGAATAATATTCCATTATATGGATATTCACTTTCTTTATCTATTCACTAGTTGATGGTCATTTAGGTTGTTTCCACTTCTTGACTATCATGAATAATACTGCCTTCCTCCATTTCAACATTTCCTCTCATAGAGTGATAGTCATTCCTTCTGCTTCCACTGTATCCAGAAGATAATAACATCAACAATAATGATGCACTTCAATGTATTTATGCAGCACTTTTATATGCCAGTGCCTGTACTTGGAGCTTTGTAGGCATTAACTCATTTAATCCTTACAACAACCCTGTTAGGCAATTTTATCCTTCCTTTCCCTTCCCTTCCCTTTCCTTTTTAATTGGTTTTAGAAAGAGAGGAAGGAAGAGGGAGAGAGACTAAGAAACATCAATATGAGAAACATCAATCAACTGCCTCCTGCATACCCCCTACTGGGGACCCAGCTGCAATCTGGGTATGTGCCCTTACCAGGAATTGAACCAGGGACCCTATGGTGCACAACCTACCTCTTTTTGTCTTGAAATGGTTTAGTTATTACCTATCTCCCCAATAGACAGTTGTTCTTTTTTTTTTAAAAATATATTTTATTGATTTTTTACAGAGAGGAAGGAAGAGAGATAGAGAGTTAGAAACATCGATGAGAGAGAAACATCGATCAGCTGCCTCCTGCACATCTCCTACTGGGGATGTGCCTGCAACCCAGGTACATGCCCTTGACCAGAATCGAACCTGGGACCTTTCAGTCCGCAGGTCGACGGTCTATCCACTGAGCCAAACCAGTTTCGGCGACAGTTGTTCTTATTCATGTTTATATCCCTAGCAACTATTACATGTGTTTTTGTGTTTTTTTAAAATATATTTTTTAGTGATTTCAGAGAGGAAGAGAGAGGGAGAGGGAGAGATAGAAACAATGATGAGAGAGAATCATTGATTGGCTGCCTCCTGCCCGCCCCCTACTGGGGATCAAGCCTGCAACCTAGGCATGTGCCCTCGACCAGAATCGAACACGAGACCTTTCAGTCCACAGGCCCTTCTATCCACTGAGCCAAACTGGCTAGGCTTACATGTGTTTTTTCTGGAATATGATGAAGCAACATTCAAATTTAACCTAGCCTTGATCCCAAGGATTTTCAGGCCAGTGGCGGGAGAGGCTTAGTAAGGACAGAGGCTTTCAAGGTCCCTCCAATCATATTAAGTGGTCTTCCTCCTTGAAGTAAATGGCATTGCCATTCTCCCATTCACTTATTACACTGGGAGTTATCTTGTTTACTACCTTTCTTCACACCTGCACCTCAATAAATACCCTGAAATTCTTCCACTTCTATTTGCATAGCAACCACACTAATCCAGGTCACCATCCTCTATCTCATAACTTGTCCAATAGCTTCCTATCATTCTCCAGCTTCTCCATGTTCCATTTCTGTTCTCCTCAAAGTCATTCTCTACAAAATAAGTTGATTAAAAAAAACAACACTTAACTGAAATAAAAAATCCAACACGATTAAGCTCTTGCTTAACTGTCCAACCTTAAACTCCTACCCTCCACAATTCAGAGGTCCTCAAACTACGGCCTGCGGGCCACATGCAAATACAAATATTGTATTTGTTCCCATTTTGGTTTTTTACTTCAAAATAAGATATGTGCAGTGTGCATAGGAATTTGTTCATAGTTTTTTTTTAAACTATAGTCCAGCCCTCCAACGGTCTGAGGGACAGTGAACTGGCCCCCTGTTTAAAAAGTTTGAGGACCCCTGCTCCACATGGTGCTTCCAGCCTCTTGGCCTTCTGTTCCTCAAACAAGCCAAATTTGTTTAGCATCAGCACCTTAAATTCACATCCATTGTCCTCTGTCCTGAATGTTCATCTTCCCATAGTTGGCACAGTCAGCGCCTTCTCCTCATTTAAGTCTTAGCTCCAATCACCTCCTCAAAAAGTCCTTCCATGACCATACTGTTTTGCTTTCTTCCCAATACTTACTACCACCTGCAATCATCTCATTTACTTGTTTCAATGTTTTCTGCACTAGAAACATAAGCTTCTAAGTGCTGGAGCTTCTGTTCTATTCACTGCTGTGCCCCTAGCACCAATAACAAAACAATATTTTTTGAGTATATGAGAGGAACACACAAGTCTTCTCATTGTTGACGGGAATGAGTCCCTGTGTTCCTACTGCTCCTTAGCTAATGGGAGGGGAGAGGTAAAGTACACAAGCCATTGGGATCTACCAGATTCTATCGTCATCCAGTTGGCAGAAGCAGCAATCACAGTTGTACAAAAGGCAAACTGGGCAGGTTCCCAATGACTGCCAGTACTGAATTGGACTGGATGCTGATGCAGCTTCTGTCTTGGGGTGAAGTGCTGCCTGCGCTGGGTGGACAGGTAGCTGTCCATCCTCTTTGTTATAAAAGGGCCACAGAGGGTAGTCAGTTCAGATAAACCTGACCCATCTATCTGTTCAGGGCAGCCTGACCCTATCTGTTTGGAATCGCGTCCAAGTGATTTAGGCAGGCTAGGCTAGGCTAGCTTGTGCTGGTTTGCAGGCTGGGACTGTGGCCCTTCAGTCCCTGCTGCTCTCATAATTCCCTTTTCACCTACTTTACTCTAAATTCATCTAACACCCTTACCTTCGTAAAACCTAAGCAATGAACTGTCCTAGCTAATCTATGTCCTAAACCTCTCTCTGCATCGTTTTCTCTTTGGTTATGAAAGTCCCCCTTTTAATTACATAATTGCCCATCATTTCACGTATCTCACTGTCTCATCTAGTGCGCACGTGCTGAAGGACACCCACAGCCCCGTATAGTTGATAAAGAAGCGTCCCATGACAAGGACAAACGCTTCTGACTAGCGTTTCTGTGTTGTTTCTAGAGGGTCAGGGCGAACTGCACCGATCCTCAGTTTTAGAGGCGGCTTCCGCGAGTCTCCAGAAGACGCACCGGTCTCGCCAGTCCCGTGCTACCGGGCGGGGTGCCTCTTCGCACTCGCAGGACGTAGTCTCGGTCCCATACCTGCCGCCCATCGGATCGCCGGGGCAGAAACGAAAAGCCAGCTGCCGCCGCCGGCGTCACCACCTACTGGAGCCCAACTCCCCGCGCCCCGCGGCAGAGCCAGCTGGGGGCTCTCGCCCCGGAGACACGCGCGCGGAAAGGGGCGGGGCCGCCGGGAGCGGTGGGCGGAGCTTGGTGGCTGCCGGGCCACCAATGAAATCCTGAGCCGGCGCGGACCGTGCGCGTGACGCTGCGTAGCGGGACGCGAGGCAGGGGGCGGAGGGGCCGGGAGTCCGGCGCTTTATCTTCGTCTGCGGCCGGGCTGGCGGTGTTGCCGGCCGTGGACACCCGGAGAGCTGCCCGGAGCTGACCTTCCTGCCGGCCGCGCTCCGACGGCCCCCGGTTCTGCCTTCCTTGCCGAGGTCCCCGCTGCCGGGCTCCGGCCCCAGGTAATGCTCTTGCTCCCGATCCGATCCTCACTACCCGCCCGGGTCCACCCACCCCGGCCGAGAGGAAGGGGATAGAGGCGGCGGCTGCAACTCCGGCCCCGCGGCCGGGCCTGGTCCTGGGATGGGGGGCGGAGGAGGCGGCGGCTCCGCGGGTCCTGGGGAGTTGGCGTGATGGAGAGGGCGGGAAAGTTACCAGCGGGCCCCCCGCTGGCTGGCAGCGTTGGAGATGGCTTTGGTGTCCCACACATGCTGTGGCATCTCGCAAGTCGGTAGTGAAGAAAGTTATGACTTAGAAGACATTTTATTCCTTAAACCAAAAATGCACTCAGGAAGTCGGCTTCTAATTGATTAAGGGGGGGCGGGGGGGAAAGCCCAAAACAAAAAACATGTGCGAAGGGATGATTGACACTTCAATACATCTAAATTTGCTTGCCTTGGCACCAAAGCCTTTAATTAAGCTCGTAATTTAGTCTTAAATATTATGATGTAATTAAGTTTCCGTGGCTCTTAAATGCTAATAGCCACGCAACTTAGGTGACATGTATATTTAGAAGTTATTTGTAAGGAAGAAACAACTATAAACTCTATAGTCTCTATGTTTATGTAGATTAAGTTGATTGGCCACTTCTCAATAATTAAGGGGCTGCCATCTGTTTAAACTACTTTTTTATTTTTCAGAATACTTGCCTTTTTCTTGACATAGAATTAAACTTCAACCCTTCCCCTCCCCTCCCCCCTTGCTATAATTTAGTCGGTATGGATGAATGACTTGTTATGGAAATTTGTGTGTTGTTTAGACATGAGGATGGATTTTGGAAGGAGCTTTGAGACATTCAAGAGTAATCACCTAATAAAGAAAGTAATCATTTAAAAATACATGTGTCTCAATGCATCACACACGTAGAACTCTCAAAGACTTCCCACTTCTCATCAGCATAAAAACCAAATTACTGCCGCCACTCTTCCTGTCTCCAGTTGATTTGGGCCCACTTTTCTTTTGGATCTCTGGGCTCCAGCCACACGGGTTTTATTTTTGTTCTAAGAAAGCCTCTTTCTCGTTAAGATCTCCACCTCTTAGGCACTATTCTCTCCCTTCCTCCAACTCCTATGTATCCTTCATTATCGGCCCAAATATCACTACAGGGAACTCGTCCTGTCCTGGTGAAGTTCTCCCAGCATTCTGTTTTCCTTAGCTGCAGTTAATCATTGTAGCAAGCTGCATTAGTTACTTAGATCAGTGGTTCTCAACCTTCGTAATGCCGCGACCCTTTAATACAGTTCCTCATGTTGTGGTGACCCCCAACCATAAAATTATTTTCGTTGCTACTTCATAACTGTAATGTTGCTACTGTTATGAATCGTAATGTAAATATCTGAGATGCAGGATGTATTTTCATTGTTCGCGACCCACAGGTTGAGAACCGCTGACTTAGATGCTTTGTTTCCTCTACTAGCAGGTAAATTTCATGAGCGCTAACTAGTCCCCATCTTATTTATGGCTTCATTCTCTAGAGCAGTGGTTCTCAACCTTCCTAATGCCGTGACCCTTTAATACAGTTCCTCACGTTGTGGTGACCCCCAATTTCATTGTTACAAATTGAACATAATTAAAGCATAGTGATTAATCACAAAAACAATATGTAATTATATATGTGTTTTCCGATGGTCTTAGGCGACCCCTGTAAAAGGGTCATTTGACCCCCAAAGGGGTCTCGACCCACAGGTTGAAAACCGCTGCTCTAGAGAGTCTGGCCTGGCACCTGGCACAAAGAAAGAGTGAATGAGTTGGAGGACAGGGGAAGGAACTTTTGAATAGGAAATAATTAAATAGGGAAGAGTGCCTGTTTCCTTTGGGAAGGAAGTGGAAAATGCTTTTAATAAATTTGTTTTTGGAATTTATCAGGTAAGATTAGTAAATATGGTGACCATACAGATGTTCAAAAACCTGTCTGTGTTCTTTAGTTTTGCTAATTGACTTAATGACCTAATTCTTTGATATGTAACTATTGTGGGATTGTGTTTAGAAGGAAGAGGAAGAAATTTTATGTTTTGGATTGTAATTTATCTGCAATTGTTTCTCCCTCCTGCCCCACCCCCCATTCCCCACTGAACCTAGGTGTGCTACAGCAAAGTTCTTCACTGAGAGTAGGTGCTCAATATTTATTTGTTTTATAGATTTATAGGTTCTTTTGCAAGCTTTATTAATAGGAACACTCTAGGCAGGTTAAAGTTGACACTTCTTTTAACCTGGTTCATTTGTTTCTCAAATCAATTCTTTTTGTTTTGCTTTCGTTAAACAGGAAACCATGGGCCCAATAGAGCATCGTTTTTGCTGAAAGCCCATGCTCCCAAATCTAGATTTAATACCTGGTCTGATTGCAGTTTTGATCTCTCCCAGAAACATAATCTTAATCTACCTGATAAGACCCCTGCCTTTCCCTACGGGAAGGTGTCCTTGCCTGAAATAGTCCACCCTTAACTTCTTAGTACTACCCTCTTCCTGCCTATAAAAACCTTTCATTTTGTACAACTTATCAGAGCACCCTTCTAGTTGCTAATGGGATGCTGTCCAATTGAACCGCTTAATAAAAACAATTAGATCTTCAGATTTACTCAGCTGAATTTTAATACTTTTTTAAAAATTTTAAAAAAAGACAATCAGAAATGAATACAATAACTGAAATGAAAAATACATTAAGTGGAATCAACAGCAGCTTATTAACACTTTATTAGGCCAAATTAGATGCTATCAAACTGAATATTACAAAACCAATGCATAGATTAGATTCTTAAGAAATAATTGTTTAATTCACTGTGTTGTATTTTAAAAGTTATCTAGTCAGCTTTATGTCATCTTGGGTATAAATGTTTCCACTGCTACTTACTGGCTATGTGACTTTGAACAAGTTTCATAGCATTTCCAAACCTTTTGTGTCTTTTAAAATGGAAATGTTAAATGAGATATGTGATGCACTTAACCTGGCATCAAGCACAGTAAGTGTTACTGACTTAGTAAAAATTAATGCCTGGTGTCTTCATTGCTGGACCTCTTGCAAGACTAGTCTTATGATCATTGTTTTCACTTCCTCAGGTCATTTTGCAACCCAGTCCAATACATTTCTTTGTCCTTCCTGAAACTAACTAGAAGTAAATCATAGCTATTAATGTCCCCAAATTGTGAAATATCACTATCCTTTTTTCTCCATTTAAAATATTTACTGATTTTAGAGAGAGGAAAGAAGGGAAGGAGGGAGAGAGAGAGAGAGAGAGAGAGAGAGAGAGAGAACTTCGATTTGTTGTTCCATTTATTTATGTATTTATTGGTTGCTTCTTGTATGTGCTCTGACCAGAGATTGAACCTGCAACCTAAGAGTATTGGGACGATGCTGTAAGCAACTGAGTTACCTGGTTGAGGCCTCCATTTTTTGGTTCTACTTAAATTCTCCTTGATATTGGCCATAGATTACCTCTTGAATTGTCTAACTTGATTTTGAACATTGCTTGCTTCTGGTTCTCCTCTAATTTCTCCTAGTCTTGCTTTTTTAGTGTTCCTTAATTCCCTTATGATATTGGGGAAATGCCTTAACCACCTGTAAAATGGGATATTAGTACCTGCCTACCTGGATAGAAATGAATCATAGTGTAAAGTTAATATTAGCTTTATTATTTCCTAGGTAACCTCTTGACTTAAGGTCTCCCTGGGCAATCTCCTTCCTGTGCCTTGGCCTTAGCTGCTGCCTGTGCACACTGATGAATCCCAGATTTCCATCTTCAGTCTGAACTTGTGTATTCATCTACCTGTTGGTCATCAGCATTTGGCTGACTCACACTCACATCATATTAAACTTGTCTACTCCTTTCTCTTCTAAAGTTGCTGCGTTAGAAAACTCACTTGGGATCTAGATTTACAACTGCCTTCTGGATATAGCCATCGGAATATCTCTTAGATGCCTCAGATTAATGTTTGTAAATTTATCTCCCTTATCTCTTCTTTCTTCGTTTGTTCACTTAGTAAACTCATGTCATTTGATCCTTACTTCAGACCTTTATCATTTTTTGTGTGAGCTCTGTTCTCCCTGTCAATAATCTTCTTTCATAGCACATCTGTCATATTGTCACCCGAGTTATCTTACTAAAGACAAATGTCAAGTCACCCTGTTATTTAAAAAACTATCAGCTCCTTGTTTGTGCTTTAAGTTCCAGACTCCTTGGAATGGCCTCGTAAAGGCCTTTGACTTTGACTTTTGCCCTTCTGCTTGCTCTGTGCTCAGCTTTATTCCTTCTCTTCCTTTAAGATTTAAACTAAATTTTACTTTCTTCAGGAAACCTTTTCTGATTGCCCCAAAGATCAGTTGGCCACCAGGCTGAACTCCCTTCATACTATATGATATCTCAACTACTGTTCTGTAACACCATTAGGTGTTATGATTACATTTTAATGACTTTTGCCCGCTGGATTTTCACTTCTGGAGGGTACAGACCCGTGGTCGGCAAACTGTGGCTCGAGAGCCACATGCGGCTCTTCCTAAGCCTTAGGAGTACCCTAATTAAGTTAATAACAATGTACCTACCTATATAGTTTAAGTTTAAAAAATTTGGCTCTCAAAAGAAATTTCAATCGTTGTACTGTTGATATTTGGCTCTGTTGACTAATGAGTTTGCCGACCACTGGTACAGACTATCGTGGCAATCTGCGTATCCTAGGGCTCGGCACACACCTCAATAAAATGTTTGAAATAATGTTTGAAAAACATTTTTAGGCAAATTGCCTTGCCTTCTATGTTTAAACTATCACAGTCTTTTAAAGAATGTTAAGGTCATTAAAAACATGAACAAGGTCTGTACTTGCTCATGTTTTTCATAGTGTGTTCTCTTCCCATCCTGTTTTGATGCCTAGCAAACTTCTAGTTCTTCTTTTGAACTCTGGCTCAAATGAATGCTACTTCCTCTATGAGGACTTGTTTGCTAACATCATTGTAGAAAGAGGTGCTGAATATACA